GAAGGAAGGAAGGAAGAAAAAAGAAAGAAAGAGAAAGAAATAAAAAAAGATATAATCATTTTCAAAATTCAGTATTTCACAATAAAATAATAATTTAAAAAAGGAAAAAAGAAGCATAGTTTTTCTTCTTCTCTCCTTTGCCCGAACTTTCCAATGGCTACTTCTCCAAGCTACAGTTCCTACCGCCTTTTCTATAACCTAACTAAATATTACGTCTCTAAWTCCAGGCTTATCTGGCTCTGACGTTTTTACGAAAGAAAGAAATTCCAATCTCATTTTTTCCTAAGAAAAAGCATTAAAAATGAAACGTTTAAAACGGTGGGAGGAATTTCACTGCCAAGTTTCTTAGCTTCAACCGGAAAGCATATTGATTCTATCCTATCCGCTCTGCTAAGTAAGCAAACAATTTCTTCAAATTCAAGAATTGTATTGATTAATCTACTATTTTCAWTACAAGTTATAATTAGGGGGATACTAAAAATCCCTTATCTCTATTTTTGGAAAACTATTATTCAACTCGATAACCAAACAAAAATAAATGCGTCTTTATGAGTTCATTGTTAGCAGAGTCTCCCCAGTTGGCGATTCTTGGCAGAGAAAATGGGAGACTCTGTCGCTCTAGGCCGTTTTCATTAATGCTATACCGCCGTGCGACGATCATAGACGAACCAAACAAGTTGAGCTGTTTTATTTAAGACTCAATATTCTTATGTGCCTAGATGTTTTATTACGATCATGCTGGTAATATTTTGATAATCTACAAACTAGGATTAATGTGTTAGCAAATGTGTCGAATATTTTCAATGTTTATTGAGTTCACATTCCGTGTCATAATTCAAGGCCAATAGTGCTACTAATAAACTTTTGGGATCCTAGAAATGAAATGAAATGAAGTGAAATCCTAGGAAACTAAAAGTCGTATTAAGGAATACAAATCCATCTGCCATTATACGACGCGCTATCCGTATCAAATAACGATTTAATTTCCGTCCATAGAGGGAAAAAAGCGTTTAAGCCAGCTTTGGGTTTATTGATGAGAGTAAATTAAGCTCTATACTCTTAAGCAGACGGATGTCGCGCGCAAAATAGTCTTCCGTGCTCGTTTTGTTTTCTAGAAATAAAAGATTGTGTCTTTCCTAAGCCATTAGATTTTCATTTTGTTCTCAACTTCCTCTTTGCGTGAGATTTGGTTTCTTGTTGCTTCTACGTCCCGTTGCTATTTACTTCCAGAGACAAACGTATCTCAGAAACATCGATAGCTGATATGCACTTACAATACTCTATTTACTTGGCGGGAGATAATTTGTCTTTTATTTAAGGATGGATATTTTCGATGCAGAGGAAATAAAGTGCCCGTTTGTTTGTGTTTTGGATCTAAAGAAAACCCGAGTAAGCTCTTTCAGTCTTTTCGAAAAACATTAATCACAGATCTGAGTATATGACGTGGACTAGGGAATAAAAAATATGACTTGATTTCAAAAACGCCGGCTTTTTATTTTTCAGCAAACTAATTGTGCAAAGACACCGTTTGACAATTAACTATTGATCGACTGCAATCATTTAAACTAAAATGAAAGACATTTAGAAATTTAAATAAATAAATTTGATCAACAATTCGCCGCATCAAAACATTTATAATGAAACACTAGTTTTCATTGAAATTCTGATGACGTTGCATGACTGGCGCCAAATTTTAGGCACGAAGATTTTTACCCCCGGCTTTTCTTTGCTTTTTTTTTTTGCAAAACTAAGGAACTTTTTGTACCTTCTGTGCAATATATAAGCCTTTCCGAGGTTGAGGGAAAAAACTGGGTCGAGTTGACATTGCAGTGCATTGTGGGACTGTTATAGGAAATGAAATAGACGCCATCTTGAACAGAACATAATGCACTGCAATGCTAACTTGACCCAGTTTTATCCCCATGGTGTTGACATATTCAGTGTTGTTTGTAGCAATGCTTGGTTTTCAGATGTAAACTTTCCGGTCTTGGAATGACCTCTTGTCTATCTCCTTTGGCCTCAACAACCTGTTTTGAAGTTGGTGTATTTGTAATAAGGGTACCAACTGACACAGTGCGATTTAAATAATTCACCTAATTCAAGGCCATAAAAATTTAAAAATAACTTTGATTGAAAACGTTCCACAATTTCCTGATTATTTCTAACAAAATTCAATATCAAAGAATGCTCTTTAAGAATAAAAAGGTGCTTTATGGTCTAAACCAAGGCATTATAAAGCTAAAGGTTTTCATCGATCGTTTATCGCAATTTCAAGTCCATCAAAACTTTGCTTTTTCCGTAGCCTAGGAGAACAGACTGACGCTTAGTTCTCGGTCTTTCTACTCATTAAGGAAGGTACATTGTTTTGGGGAAGGACATTTTTTTATTGGGAGGGGGNTGGGGGCTGGGGGTTTCGCAGTAAACTATTTTGTTTGAATGACTGTGGACATTCCCCTTTCATTTGGTAACAAATTCATGACCTTCCTATTAAGTCAACAAGGAAAAACTTTCATCAAAAAAACAAATTTTGGAACAGTCAAAAAATTATTTACTGGTGACCATCTCCTTTGAAGTCCCAGCCCTTCTCCCCAGTAAAAACGTACCTTTCCTTAATACTTTTTTTTCATGCATTTAGATCAAGTAATGTAACTCGGATAATGGGGCAAAATGTTTTGCCAGACATTCAGGAAATCGCTCTACCATCAGTCGTCCTAAATGATACCGTTTTACAGATTTACTAAATGTTACTTACAAAAGATCAGGAAGGAAAGGTTTATTTTTAACAGCAGTGCAGTTGCTCACTAATTAAGAATTATCAAAAAATCTCTTAATATTGGATAAAGGAAAATATGAATGGGAGACAGCGAAGATTTTAATTGACCAAAAGTAAAAGAATATTGATAAGCTGAGATTGGAGAGGTAAATTCTAACGATCTGTGATTTAGGCGTGCTGTGACTTTGATTAGCCGAGAGGTTGTTTCAGGTTATAGATAAAACTATGGGATTTTYCCCCCTTAATTGCTCGTTTTTTTAGATTTGATTCCCCGTTTCTTTTCATATTTTTCTCACATCTCTATTTTTTTCCTTAGTCTTTTACAGAGCATTAGTCACTTCCCTTCCCTATCTTCCTAAGCTTTTTTAGCCTTTTATTTTCTTTTTAAAACCCAAAAAGTAAAGAAACAAAAACAGATGTTCTTAACATTCGTTAGTGTGGGTGGTTTAGTTATTAAGGAGAAAAGGGACTTTCAAGAAATGGATGTTAAAATAACAGAAGCAGCATCTTCGGTAAAATTCTGTAAAAACGAGCGACAGAATCTTACCACTGGGTCGTCGAGCAGCAGCAGCAGCAGCAGCAACAACAACAACGAACTCTAACTTTTGCACCGTAGTCCATTGGTTAACAAACATTATTAATCATGAATTGATAAAATTTAAAAATTTAGTTTAAAAATAACAGTAGCAGCAGCAACAATAACAACCAACTTATAGAGATGAACTTATAGAACCTAACTTTTGGACTAGTTCATTCTTAATCAAGCAAGATAAATAAACCAAGTGCTGTCTAACAAGCATTATTGAGCATAAATTGATGAAACTAATATCTATAACACATTTAAAAACATTACTGAAATATTTTTAGATGAAAAGTTAAACGACATAAAGCCATTACGAATTGATCGCTATCTTCTTCAAGATTAATTGAATGCATTTTATATGCGACTGTCGAAGCACAACCATAAATATTAGTGAGAGGTCCTTTACCCTGGAAGAACGATGAATTGCTAGAACTCAAGTAAGCGGACGCACGTTGATTGTCTTTTGGAGAATGGTTTTGAAAATCACTTGAACTTGCTGACGCAAATTGAAATATTGAAGTTTGATTTCAACTCCGCTCATTCAGTGCCTGATATAACAAGTTTTTTAGATATACTAGTATCAATTTTCTTTCAAACTAATAAGCTAATAACCATGGAAATATTGGAATAATAAATCGGGTTTTTTTCGAGCAAGAAACTGAGAATATTTGTTGAGGATTTAAAAAACAGAATATTTATCAGTGGAAAGTCGGCTCCAGGGAAAGTAGTACTTCAGGTTATTTGACACTACAGTGTTTAAGGTTAAAAAACAAAAACAAAAAAAAAATTATACATAATATTTTGCTGGATATCAAACCGACTCAGACCATGCTGACGGCCTTGATATTAAATAATAAAAATAAATCCTAAAAACTCATTCTTCACGTGAGAGGAAGTACATGCAAATAAGTATGAAGGATTTTCAAATTATTTCAAATAATCAGCAGTGTTCTTGAAAAACTCATTTCGCTTTTTGGATGGATTTGAATAATGAAAATCAGTGATATGGTATCTGTTGGATAAGACAAAAGATTCATTACAACATAGATGGCCAGGATATCGATAGTTTATATTGATAATCAGTGAACCCGAAAGAAAACAAATATTACTTTATAATTTATTTATCAACGTTTTGCTATAAGGATGTACAGAAGAAAGTAGCTTTCAGAAACGTTTTCTTCCTCATGGAACAGTGTGAAAAAATATATATAATTAACAAATTTATCCATACACGCAAACACACTAAAAATATACTATATATAAAAAATATACATATATATATACACACTAAAAATATATATCAATAAATATTAATTCTTCAATAGATTTACTTTTTATGGCAAGGAATTGAAGGATGAATTTTTTAGAATATTGTTGAGTAGGTGTCTTTGACAATATTTATTATTTAGATGCAATATTGTCTATTCAAATGGTTCTTTGAATTAAGACGGATTTAAGGGGATTCGGAGCTAAATCAAGAGTCCTAGACTGACTTAATTGTTTGCCCAAAACTGGTCAGAATTAAAGGCTGCAGATTCAAACAATATAGACAACCAATATTCCCTACTAATCTGCATCTTAATTAACAGTATGAGAGTATATCCAAAGATACTACTTAAATGCTACTCTTTTCAAAGGAGTGCAAATGATTTATTCTGTGTTTGGATGAATAAAATGGGATGCATGAATAATTCTTTAGTCCAAAATGATCTCTTTAAGATGATACACACAACATTTTTCGATTCGATTAAATCTTTGTATTTTTTTAAGATTGAAATTTCGTTAAGCGTTAGACCTGTATTTTCTACGAATAAAAAGCTTTAGGCTAAAAGATCACAGCTCGCCTGTAGCAACTCTACTTCACTGGTCAGGTGTCATTTTAATGAAACGTTTAAGGAGGACCTTTGAATTGTGAAAATTTCAAAGCATTTTCTCGTAATTATACACTGTGTTTTGACTCCTTGGCTGTCTGGGCTGTTATGAAATACATATACGAACGAACAAATTGCTTTTTAATAACTTATTTATTTTAAAACATGATTTTTTAAAGATAAGTGCGTCTTTTACTTGGGAAATCCAAAATATTTGGCAACAGCAATTAACGTATGAACAACTCTATATGAATAATGTTTGGTCATTTCGCTATCTGGTAATTCTTCACATGATTCCAATATTCAATCATTTATCACAGCGCTTTCATGCTTAGCCTATGTTGAGGAGAGTAGTTTGACAAAGCCCTGGAATACTGGGGTCGTCTAGAGTTATGTAAAGGGGAAATCGCAGAGGTCTCAACCGGAGAGTTTTGTCCAGAGTTGTCGTGTTTGCCAAGTTTTATCAGCTTGAGCACAGCTCTTCGGAAATCAGGCATCCTCCAAGCGTAAACAAAGCAGTTAGTGAGGCTGTTGCCAAAGTGCAGGAGTTTCGTGGCGTGGATAATGATATAGTTGTCAACGGTTAGCTTGGCAAAAACCACGACTAGGTTCATAATTACGAACGGTAACCATGCAGATAGTGAAAGCACTGTCAGTATTATCATGGTGACTCCGAGTTTTCGCTCATTCTCCGACGCCTTGCGGTAGTTTTTACTACTGTGAAGTTTAAGCCGGGACCAAACTATAGAATACGACGTCGTGATGAGTATAAACGCAATAAAAACGACAATCATTGAAGTGTATGTCGAGATAATATAATTAGAAGTTAAATAAAGTGCTGAAAAGCAAAATATAGCAATCGCGCAAGCAAGGGTCCAGGTGACAGCTATAGCGGTGTAGTAGTACCGCGGATGAAGCGTTCGATAGCGAAACGGTTTCTTAGCAGCGTACAGCCTTTCGAGAGCAACAATAGTCAAGTTCCCCAGAGATGCAACACCAAGCAATATATCCGCCACGTAAAACACATATGTTATGGTTTTAAGAAAATAAGCTTGCCATAGTTGAAACTGGATTCCTATGAAGTAGATATATAGAGGTATTGGTATGATTCCAATGAAGACATCGGCTGTAGCGAGGTTGATTAATAAGTAGGTCCCTCGTTTTCGGAGATATTTCTTCTTGGCGAAAGCACCTATTGTTAATAGGTTTCCTAGGATGATAGCAATGCTCTCGAGCCCAAACGCACAACACCATCCCAAGCCTTCGTAGAACATGCTTGGATTATTATTTTCTCTGTTCGTCGTTGATATATTACTGTTTTTTATATAAAAATTTCTGCTTAAATTACCCATCTTGATAGGTCCGTAGAAATTGCTGTCGTAGATCCGGCTTCCGTCGATTAGCCTTAGCCCTAAGAAAATTCTCGCGTACGAATGTGGGATGAGAATAAAAATGTTGCGTGTTTGATAAGACAAATATATATCTATAAGGAACTCTTCAGACAAGAGATGACATCAGAGTACATCCACCGACCCTTGGAGCTGATGAGAGAAATCAAGGAAAATTACATAGCACTCGGTGGATGATGAGGCTACCGGTTTGCCAGGTGTGCTCGGCGAGTGAATTTCGATTAGAGCGTTGAATAACGCGGGGTCCAAGTGTCAATCACTTGCTAAGCTGATTTACTGTGTTGAAGATCACGCCTGTGCCACACGTCCTGTCTTGCATGTAAAGGAACACAGAATGTGTAAAGTTATTATGGTCTTTTTAATAGTCTATTATCTATGTGAATACTAATCACATTGGGACCCTGAACTGAGGACGTATATCAGAAAGGCCCTGAGGGCTTCGGCGCTGACTGCCCAATCACAGGCCTCGAGCCTCGAAACGCATCTGGGAAAAGGCTTTTGCTCTTGTTTCTACTTTAGACCCACAGCTTATCTTCCAAATCCTCTTTGGATATTAATTTCTCGATCCATTGGAACTACATAAATATACAGAGCTTTGTTAATTCGTACTCTCTTATTATAAGGTTAACTTCAGCTTTTAAAGAACTTAGACTAGTGTGGTAGGAGACTGCTTACTATGCGAGACGCAGTACAGGTGAACTTTGCTGCCTCCCGTTCACAGGAAATAAGTTCTGTTCAAAATAAGCTGGCAATAACAGGTAGAGTGGGCTGGATTGATTAGGACAGAAGACAAAAGGATTGTCACGCTCGGAGAAGATGGATTAAAAGATGAATGGCATCTTGTGTATTTGAAGTCTCTAGGAAAAGAAGTRAATCAATAGCTAGAGAAGAAAGAAAACGATATAGCAGCAGACAAATAAAGTTAGAAATGATTGGATAGATTAGGAGAGAAGATACAAAAGGTTTGCTATTTGCGAAGAAAATGGATTAAAACAATAAAAGGTATTTCTGTGTTTGGAGACTCGCAGCAAAAGAAAGCGGCGAATCAATAGATAATTTAAAGTAGACAAAAGCTAAAAAGACGGAAATAAACAAATTAAAAGACAAACAAAAATAAATGCGTGGATGGGCGAATCATGCAACAGCGAAAGACGAACAAATAGATATATAATAAAAATAAAAGGAAGAATAATCTTTAAAAATGAAGTGCCCAAGATGTCTGTTTCATTAGAAACACCGACGCAGCTCACACTAGTTTTTAGCTAGTTATCTCTTCGAGATTGCAATAGTGGATTACCTAATCGTTTCTGGAATTCCAAAAATTGAGATAAATTTGCAAGCCAGTGTTCCATATATATTTCTTATTTTTACCTTTTGTAGGTTGGTAAGCCTTGGGCAAAATACTCTGCGGATGTTCAAGCCGTCACATCACTGATTCAGAATCTAGCGATTACTATTATTGTTAGGACGTAACTGAGTATTGATGAGATTTTCATTACCCGAGGATCTAGCAGTCACATCTTGCGGAATTCATAGAACAATTCTAGACACTAATACTAATGACACCTCGTGGACTGACAAAGAAAGAATAACGTGGGATTTAAAATTTAAAAAAAACGMTCAGGGCACGAAATCACCTTTTAAACTCTTCAGCAAAACCTCGCTAGTTTTTTTTTCTCACTAGCAAATATTTCAGTCACTAGCGATCGATTGCGGCTAACATCAAACGTTACTCGATGCGGGTTCTACACTTTAAAGTCCTGGCCTTCAATTTCTGGACTGTGGTCATACTTTAGCTAGTTTACTCGCTAAATTTCACTCGCATTTCTCGCGTTGCGAGCGTTAATTTCGTGCCCTGACAATGTGCTTAAAATAAGGCTAACATGCCTGTGATCAACGAAAAATGGAAAAACAATTGCAACGATAAAAAAGTACTATCAGGCAATCAAATCGTTRTAAGATTGGGAAGACAAATAATATAGATATAAGAGACAGCAAATACTGACGATAAATGGAAGATGAAGTCATTCCATGTAAACAATCTAGCTCACAGTAATAATGAAAACATGAATGAGAAAAAACAAAAGTCAAGAATTGAGGTATTTATTGGCGAGATTACTGGAGATTCAGATCAGCGAATGAGGAAAATCCAGTCAACACGAGTAACAACTAAAATATTAGAAATCAATTCCACGATCCATGACAGCAAAATGTTGCTCCAAAATAAAAAAAGACGAAACACACCAAGAAATTTGAAAAATGTTTTTTAAACTAAAGGATAATAAGCAAGAAAGCTCATTAAAACCGAAACTTTTCTAATATTAGAGCGGCTACTTCTATGACGCCTCCACATCAACCATAAGCGTTTTATTTATTACAAATTGTTGAAAAAATAATTGCTTTGCGGAGCCTTGTCAGACATCCGACAGTCATAAGTAAATGGTGGTTCTCATTTTTCATAACATTTAACGTAACGGTAGTGGCATCTTAACCTTTCTATTGTCAGTCGTAGAGGTAGAACAAATGTATGGGGGAAGATAACAGCCACCTTGTGACCCAAGACCTTAACACATCCCACATGGTGTAGCTGAATGCTACTGGTACTGGTAAGCTTGAATAGCTATTGGGACGGAATACTTGTAGGATATGAAATTGATAATATATTAGGAAAGGTAAAAAATGGGAAATGGAAAACGGGAACGTAAAGCCGGACAATTTGTAATCTGCATACTATATTAGTATACTGTATTAGCCGTCCCAAGGATGAAAAAACTTGGCATTGCAGTGCATCGTAGGGGACGAAATAGACGCCATCTTGGAAATATGTCCCCCTAAAACAGTCCCACAATGCACTGTAATACCAACTCGACCCAGTTTTTTCCTCAACTTCGGAATAGATAAAAGTAAATCAATATTTTTAATCCTAATTTAAACCAAACGAAAAAGGTAGACTCGCATCTGTGTCCTAAATTTAGGCGACACCATTGATTTGTGCAGAAAACCAAAAGTTATCGGATTCCGCGTGGCTTTCACACTTAAGTTTTTCTATTGCAACAGAACGAATAGCAGAAGTCCCTGATTTTGAATTGAATTTGCAGTAATGTTATTTTGTAATGCTTGGGTTGGCAACACTTCAATCTGTCGCCTTGACTGTCACACATTTGTCTTTTGAATTAATATAAATCCTCTTTAGCTTAGCGGGTTAACAAGTGAAGCTTTCACATTAACACATCCTTACTTGAACCACTTAAATTGAACCGGTTTCAGGACTGTCAAAATGGCCAGTGGGTTTGAAACTCTTATGACTGAGAGTAAGAGCTGCTGTTAACGTTCGATTTCATGTTTGTTGGCACGCACAATATCGTTTTAAAGATTGAATAGTGTCGATATTCATGTCTTCTCATGCACAACCGTTAAATAAAGAAATCATACTCTAGGGAATGACACTTGGTCCGCTGAAATGGGTAAAACAGCCCTATATATATATCACATTTCATTGCAACCTATTTCTTTCTTCAACTTAAGTCTATAAGGGTCTCTTTTTCAAACATATCGGCCAACATCTTGATATTCAAATATATCGATATACTTAGTCGTACACTGAATCAACCACTATCATGATCTATCTATACCGAAGGTCATACCCAGCAGTTATATTATATATTCATAGTCCTAAAGAACCATTATCAGTGAGATATCAAAAAAACTAATCAGGGGAGTGACTCGAGTATACATATCAAACAAAAACCCCGCTGTATAAAGCACCAAGATTCACATCCACCAGATACAGTATATCGATGTGTATAAAGCACCAAGATTTACATCCACTAGATACTGTATATCGATGATCTAAGTCATAAAGCTAGAACCATTATCAGTGAGTTATCAAAGATATTAAAAACTAACCCTAGTATGGCAGGGGTGTGCCTGGATCATATATATCAACAAGCATCCATGCATTAAAAACCAAGATCGGGATTTACATCCACTAGATACTGTATATCGATGATCTAAGTCATACAAAACCATTATCAGTGAGTTATCAAAGATATTAAAAGCTAACCCTAGCATAGCAGGGCCGTGCCTCGATTATATATATCAACCAACATCCATACATTAAAAACCAAGATTTACATCCACTAGATACTGCATATCGATGATCTAAGCTCTAAGAACCCCTATCAGTGAGTTATCCATGATATCAAAAACTAACTCTCTAGCATAGCAGGGGTGTGCCTGGAGCATATATATATTAACCAACACCTACGAATTATATTAAAAAATCTGAGTAGGATCGCGCGGACTTCATAGTCAAAAAGCATACGTATTGGCCAACATCCATACGTTTATTTAATACCAAGGGTCACACCCACTCGATTAGGTCTTTCCTACAGAACCGCTATCTCGATCTATCAAAGATATATCGTGCCTATTTTATAGAGAAAAAAAAAAAAAAAAAAAGACCCGTTTTAAGACCCTACCAGTCTCTCCATACGTCAAACAAAACAACTTTACATTCAGTAAAAGGGTCATACACACTCGATAAAGTCTGTCCTACAGAGCCGCTATGATCTATTAAAGTTTTTAAAAGCCCTAGGTGGTACCATACCAATTGCATAAACGAAATCGAAACAGCAAACGAATCGCTGAATAACATCAAATTTAACAAGGAAGGTCACTCCTTGTTTTTATCAGCTCAGCTCTATCAGCCAAAATCTTTATAAGATCTTATGGAGTATCTTATGGAGAAATTTCTTACGGTAAAGTCCATGTGTTGTGACATCAATCCCTCTATAAAGCTTCCTGTACCCGACAGACGAGGCACTCCTTCAGTCAACCCGACAGACGAGGCACTCCCTCCAATTGCAAGCGCCACTTAAACTTTGTCACTTATGATAATCTATCGCATGAATCGTATTTATTTAACGATTTATCACACTTGATAGCCTTTATTAAGAGGGGTCAATCTCGGAAAAAATTGAAAGAATTTCAAGCCATTTTTTATGAACCGTTAAGTAGCTTATTGAAAGAGCTAAAGATAATATTGAAAATGGCTTGCTGATCGATGATTCGCGGAAATTCCCGTCTGGTTTCTGATATGACATCTGAATGAGTTTAATATTCGCTAAGTTGTAATGATGATTATGAAGAGCGGAAAAAAGATTCATCAGTATTTCGTTTTCTTGTCATTCATTGTGGGCACGTTTATTAACTTTTACCATGAGAGAAAAACGACCGAGAAAGATATTAAATGTACAGATAAGTAAATACGCTATGGAGGTCTCAGCAGTCGTGTGGGTTTGATAATAAATAAATATGTTTTATTTGAAATACGTCTTCCATATGAAGTACGGTCTGCCATGCGTATTACGACAATAGGAGAGGATATTGAGCTTTTAAATAAGTGATTTATATGCATGTAATTTATCTTTACGTATGGGGTTAATGGAAAATATAAAAATAAGAGGAAAGGAAGGAAGTCAAAAACGCAAGACAAACTGAAGAAATGATAGGGGAAGGAAAGCCTCGTGTTGGACGCCTGCGAAGGAGGCTAGGAAAAGGAAGAATTGAAACGAACGAGTGAGAAATAAAGTACAATGGGAAAGGAAAAGGAAAATGAAAACAAAGAAAGGGAAAAACGCAAGAGAAAAAGAATAAATGAGAGTAGAAAAAGGAAGGAATGAAGAAAAAGAAAGCAAGAAAAATTTGAATTAAAAGTAGAAAGGAAAGAAGGGCAAAGAATAGAGCAAGAGGAAGAAATCTTTAAGAGGGAAAAAGACTGAAAAGAAAAGGAGAAAAGGAAAGGAAATTAAAAGAACAGGAAAAATGATTAAAAAAATGCAAGATCTCGAACTGTATTTCCTTGAAGAAATTATGAATTATGTTTGCATGAGAATAAAGCCAATCAATAATAGAAACAAATTCAAAAGAGTTATCTCCAACCGTTTTCCTTTACTGAAATTATGAATTATACTTGAGAATAAAGCCAATCAATGATAGAAGAAGAAAAAAAGTTATCTCGAACTGTTTTCCCCTGAAATTATGAATTATAAATGTCTATTGAGCATAACGTCAATCAATAATAGGGAATTATCATAACATTGTAGCTTTTCAGGATATTTTTTATGACGCTTGTCTTCTTTTACATTTAATGATTTGGATTTCAAGTTGTTATTTCCAAAGGAGTTACTTGTCTTGCACTATACTCTTCGCACGTTTTCATCTGTTTTATTTCATTTAATTATCGAATTCATTATCATTATCATTGTTTTTATTATCATTTTAAGAAATAAAGAAAGCTTTCATATTTGAGGAAAACATTATATATCACTGAGAAAATCAATTTTCCAGTTTTAATCTGATACTGACAATCAAAGATCGAAAATATTAATAAATGTTTGTGAATGAAATTTAACCGTCCAATGGTCGAATACGAAACCATCAAACATAAGATGCTGATTCTAAAGATTTCTTTTCTCCAACTATATATTTATATTTTTAACGAAAAGACTTAAGAATATGCAGTCCAGTATGGGTTGTCGGGTCAGTGGTCGAAGAAAGAAAAATAGAATGAAAGTAAGTCTCTTCTTTTGAAGGAATGCTTCAATTATACGACCTGTGTTGATGGA